GGGGGAGGGAGGGGGAGGGAGTGAGACAGAGACAGACAGAGTGAGAGAGAGAGAGAGAGAGAGAGAGAGAGAGAGAGAATTTTTTATTCCAGAGCCATTACAGTAGTTTTTATGACAATGAATGAGGCTTTTATTGTAATCTGCAGGGATTTTTTTAGTGTACGCTTTATGGTTGCCAGGCTCACTATGTGAGATTTTAAAAAACTAATATATATATTTTTTTAATACACACTATTATGTATACATAACATTGTCTACGTATACACCTGTCCAGAAATGTTAAAATATGATATCTCTTTGAGTGTATGTCTGTCCCTGTCGTTTTATGTAAGAAAAATTCTGAAATTATGCAAACTGAGCCCAAAAATGTGAAATCATGCGATTCTGTTAATTTTAACAAAAAATGATAAGGAAAATAATCAGAAATTAGGCACAAAATGATTAAATTTTGCTAAATTATGCCGGGTGCACAAAACCATGGGGACATGTATGTATGTGCATTGGGCATAAAAAAAAATATATAAATGCGCTGCAAAAATACTTATTCAGATCATCATCACCATTCAATACACCATACTGCTTTATTCATCACAACACCCTGCCCTGTATAATGAGAGATTCGTCATATTAAAATTGAGCAAGATTATGAAATATTAGCTAGAAGTTGTTAAGTCTACAAACGCAGGTTTAATTTATTCTACAGTTGAGTTCAACAAACTTTTAATGATCAAATAATCTTCGGTGACTAAGTCAGTACTGAACACGTTACTACCATACCCCCCCCCCTTTCCCCTGCGCAGAAGCAAGGCAGCGGGCCAGAAGAATGAACTTTGCGGACCAAGTCTAGGCCTTGCCTGCGAGACATAGAATCTAGTCCAAAAAGAAGAAAAGAGGTTTAACCCCCCTATCAACACTGTAAGGTTACTTCAGTGGAAGGACACCCGAGTTTGACGTCCGTCTCCGAAAGGACCAAGCCAAGAGGAAAATAATTTATAAGAATATAAGGTGCCTTCCCCAAGTACACAACATCGGACCAAGCACAGGCTCGAACTCCCAAACCCTCAATCTCATGATGGGCGTAGTCCAGTGAACCCCGATACAGATCAACGACGCCGGAGAGACGAATTTTAGAAGTTTTTTAAATATAAAAAGTCTAAGTGTTTTTAGTTTTTAGTTCTTACACTCTCCAGCGAGGGACAGTGAAGCACCGCCTAACCGCTACATCACAGATGCCAGAAGGAGAGAAGAGACATAACGTATACATTCAGTGGCTACCAAACTCATTCGATCGTTAGTTTGTCCGTCAACACATCGTCACTTCCCAGCCCGACACAGGCACGGGCAGCTGATAGTGTGGCAGTCTGTTAATGTTTTATTGCCCATAGACGCAACCTAAACGTAAATCATTATTTTATAGGCGCCCCGCTTCGATTTTCCTCTGCGCGTCAGGTCCAACCAAGGAACTTTTCTAAAGTCACTGGTTCCAACCCGTGCTGAGAGTGAAACAGAATTTCAACAAACAGACGGACAAACCAGTTAGA